GTTAAGTATCCAGTTCTTTCATATCACAGGTAATTTAGTACTCAAGGAAGTAAAGTATCCAGTTGTTCCATATCACAGGTAATTTAGTACTCAAGGAAGTAAAGTATCCTGTTCTTCCATATCACAGGTAGTTTAATACTCAAGGAAGTTAAGTATCCAATTCTTTCATATCACAGGTAATTTAGTACTCAAGGAAGTAAAGTATCCTGTTCTTCCATATCACAGGTAATTTAGTACTCAAGGAAGTAAAGTATCCTGTTCTTCCATATCACAGGTAGTTTAGTACTCAAGGAAGTTAAGTATCTAGTTCTTCCATATCACAGGTAATTTAATACTCAAGGAAGTAAAGTATCCAGTTCTTATATATCGCAGGTAGTTTAGTACTCAAGGAAGTTAAGTATCCAATTCTTTCATATCACAGGTAGTTTAGTACTCAAGGAAGTAAAGTATCCAGTTCTTCCATATGACAGGTAGTTTAGTACTCAAGGAAGTAAAGTATCCAGTTGTTCCATATCGCAGGTAGTTTAGTACTCAAGGAAGTAAAGTATCCAGTTGTTCCATATGACAGGTAGTTTAGTACTAGCCTACAGAGTGTATAATTCTTCTGATGATTCATGGCATACGCACGTTTAACTGACGTGACGATAATACAAATTGCAACGTTAAATGTCCCTTATACGACGCCATTTTAGTGTCTACTGATTAATTAACAGACAACACACTACTGTATAGTGGTGCGAGAGGTTAGAACAGGTGATCCCTCCAGGTGGCCTTAGGCCCTCTTTCGGGGAAATAAACATCTCACAAGTTGGAAAATGCGTTTTATTTTAACTTGCTTATATCGTTGTTGTTTATTTTAAATCAACTTTTGAAAACCTTTTTTTTTTTTCGTGATTGGGCCCCCTCCAGTAATTGTTTGTTTTCTACGCCACTGCTTACAGGCAATATAAAAAATTAGAGAAATGAATTCGGGGAATGCCGTTTTTTTTGAGCACTTAAAGCCTGCTTTGTTTTATATTAAAATTTAAACATAAACATGAATGTGGTGAAGTCAAAAAATCGTGGAAGTTTTCGACTAAATAAAATTTCAACCCAGGTTTTCTCGTTGATAAAACTGAATGAAACAACTCTGACCAAAATACGTTTTCTTTGAAGTAACGAAAACATTGTTGGGCCAAATATTTAGTCGTTATTATATTTCATAGAGAAAATACTTTGAAATGAAGTCTAATACACACTCAGTAGTTAAAATAGCAGCGTAATTTTGGATATATTAATTATTCTGTATTTAAATCAGATATAGAAGTATAGAACAGAGTCAAGTTAATCCAAAGGCTGTGGTGTTCCTTATTCTATTTATTTAAGCGCAAAAACTGTAGGGATCGAACGTTAAATTGTAGCTTTATAAGTCTACAAGCTTATCCCTCGGTGTGGGGGAGGCTTATTTTGATAAAATGAATAAAATTAAATGCATAATTTTTACAAACTCTTAATTCAGTCTTGTGACAAATGGTGTACTTTGTATGCGTGTATATGTATGTATGTGTCTAATAAAAATCTATTTGAATTGGACAAATAATCGTATTTTCGGCAAGTGAATTGCGCTTGATTTGTATATATATGTATGTTTCAAAAGACCTCGTAAATTTTACCAAGATAAGTATACACTTAGACTATTGTGTTTATTACATATAGCTCGTGGTGACTCAGCTGTAAGTCTGAGGGCTTGTAACAATAAAAGCGGGTTTCGATACCTGGAGTTGGCACAGCACAGATAGCCCATTGAGTAGCTTGGCACTAAAAAAATATAACATGAATCGTCGAGAACATAATATAATGACAATTAATATTAAGTTATAACTCGCGCAGAAAAACACTTACTGTGGTGCGTGCGTGTGTTACGTTGCGTTTGTGTGTGCACGGACGCGCTACCATCAAGCTAGCAGGATAGTTCGTTACTGACATGACGTGTTTTGTTTTTTGACCTACATCCTACGATTCCCCCACCATTCTATAGCGTTACCTTGAACTCGGAAACTCCACCTTAACCTTGAGAGAGTCACCAAAGATGAACTTTGATAATATAAATAGCATCTTAAACGCTGGTGTCTCTGTCGTATCCCAGCCGGCATGACGAGGATTGATAACGGCCAAGGCGCGTCTTCGTATTCCGTATGTCATTTGTCGTGTGGTTTGTTGTTAAACATTCTTCTTTCACTAATACGTTTCTACAATTACATTCTACGTTTTTACAATTATATTCTACGTTTCTACAAATATATTCTACGTTTACGTTTTCTTGTAATCCCCAAACCAATGAAAGTTAACTCATATTTAAACATAAATCTATCTATGGTCAACGAGCAAATTGAACTATATAAGAATAATTGTCATTTGAAGCCGGGCTTCCTTCTAGTTTTTAGCATGCCCGGACCTTGTAAATTGGAAGATTCGGGGTTCGCGGTTCGTTGCCGCATAAACGCACACCACCCACTTTGAGGCGAGGAATGTGCTGTAAAGGAGACTACGAAAGCTCTCTAGTCGGTCAGATAATAATGAAACAAAATCTGGCGGTTGGGGAGAGGGGGGGTACTGTTGACTTGCTGCCTTTTCTCTAGTCTCTCAGGTAAAAATTAGAAATGGTTATCGTAATAGTGCTTTGCACGAAACGTTTGAAACAACAAAAATTTAGTTAAAGTCTGTGTTTACCAGAATAAAGCATACATTATTTCAGACTTCCAAATACAGCTAGTTTTGTTTTCTGCGTCTGAAAGCACCAATGATATAAGAAATTACTCTTATGGTCTATTATCCAGCGTTGCGCGCTGCGGTTCTAAAGGTCCAAGATTCGAATCGCGATATGCCGCTGCATTCGCTCTACACTTTCATTTGTGAAGCCGTTATATAGATGGCAGTCAATCCCACAATTCGGTTGAGATTAGCCATGACCGATTGTCCTTCCTTTAGTCAGCAGCTGACAATTATGGTCGGCTTTGTCTAAACTATAGGTTCTCTGAGGTGGGCCGTTTAGGACGTGTATCGTAGGCGGTACTGTTTCGACTGAAAACACCATGCCTTGTAATATACTTGACATTCAGACTTGTCATTAGTACTGCAAACACTGTGATCGCTGTCACTCTGGAACTTTTACACTATCTTAAATAGAGCTGGGCACCCCGATAACAATAAAAATTGGCATATATAGTGAAACTGACGTTATTAAGTACAATCGGTTTCAGTTTTGTTTCCGCAAAATCATTTGAAGTTACTTCTTGATTTAAATACCAGAGTTTCAGGGAGGATAACTTAGGACAAGAACTGATCAAGTTGTACAAAAATTAAATCCAAATTAGAAGAACAAAAACATTAAATATAACTGAAAAAACTGGGTTTTACTTAGATGGTAAGGGGAGGAATTGTTAATAGTTATTTATTAAAAGTTTCTGCAGTGAACCCACGCTATATATATATATAATATTTCAACTGCTTAAAATCGTTGCGTTACTTAAGGGTTAACGTTAAGCGAAGAACGTGGGAGTTAAACTAGTTAGAGCCGGATTTTACTGGTATTTACATGGAAACTCAAGGTAAGAAAAGACAGAACTTACAGTCGTCTCACGTAGACATCGCTTTAACAGACGAATCCCGGTAGTCGTTTTTTCTCACAAATACACGCAAAATGGGCGTAACAAATGTGACCAGTTTAGAACTTGAGTTTGAGACATGGCATTGACCTGTGATTTCAAAGAAAATAAAAACGTGTTTATAGCATATTTAAATCGAAATTTATCAGTCATTAAGCTAAACATTTATGTTAATATATTGTTACTTTTTATATTTTTCAAGAATCTTTAACTCGGCTTGAACTAGAACTTAGGGTCCTTGGTTCGCGTCCCTTTGCCACAAAAACACTTCTGCACCGTACTTTCAGCCCGTATATGAGTTATAATATCAATTATCCATTCCCACTATTCGATTAGAGTAGCACAAGAGTTGACGGTTGGTGCTATCGACTAGATGCTTTCCCTCTAGTCATCAGTCCAAAATTAGGAGCAGCTGTCGGAGATAGCTCTGTGAAGCTTTGTGCGAATGTCCAAAACAAACTAATCCAGACCAGTTTTAAGGAATACGAAGATAACAAACATTCTTTACTTTAACGTTTCTGTTTAGCTTATTTCGTTTTTAACATTATGTTAAAAGTGGCTGTTAATCAACATAAAGTAAACCTGTCGTAATGTATGTCATGGTGAACAGAGGGTAAACCTGTTGTACATCCAATGTTAATCTGGACAGAGGGTAAACCTGTTGTACATCCAATGTTAATCTGGACAAGGGGTAAACCTGTCTTACACCCAATGAATATCTGGACAGAGGGTAAACCTGTTGTACATCCAATGTTAATCTGGACAGAGGGTAAACCTGTTGTACATCCAATGTTAATCTGGACAGAGGGTAAACCTGTTGTACATCCAATGTTAATCTGGACAGATGGTAAACCTGTCTTACACCAATGAATATCTGGACAGAGGGTAAACCTGTTGTACATCCAATGTTGATCTGGCCAGAGGATAAACTTGTTGTACATCCAATGTTGATCTGGCCAGAGGATAAACTTGTCGTACATTTAATGTTGATCTGGACGGAAGGCCAACCTGCCGTACATCCAATGCTGGTCTGGACAGAAGGCCAACCTGCAATACTTCCAATGCTGGTCTGGATAGAAGGCCAACCTGCAATACTTCCAATGCTGGTCTGGACAGAAAGCAGACTGGAAATGTGCATAATAGTATTAAAATTGTGAAATAAGTTTCCATTAAGTTTGTAGATTTTTTTATGTGATTCTGAAGTAAGTTAAAAAGTTGCATCAAAGAACATTGTGCATTAACTGTTTTTAATATAGCGATTTTTCCATCCTTTTATTAATTCCACAGAGGGTTTTTGACAATGTACTACGTGTGGTTCTACACTGGGGGCAAGGCTGGGAAACTAAATGTGTGGAAATTCATCTTAGTCAGATACTTCAGGTAAGATTATAAAACCAATTTCTCTCCTTATCTCACGCCACGTTAGAGGTCAAATATTCTCATTTTCCTAAACAAACATTTAAAAACAAAAAGAGTCTTAAATATTTTTTTAATGTCGAGAAATACGAATAATTCCCACGAATGTTCTTTAAATAGATGGATTTACCTTCATCATCACGTTTTATGACTAGTATATTAAATTCGCGCTCTGAATTATTGGGTTAATTTTACAGTTCTGTCCGTGTAAGTACCTTGCTTTCATCAAACCTTAATGGTAGTTATATACTTCAGATATTTATCTCCAAAAATCGTCTCTCTAACGAATTTCTAGCAAGTAAATAACGACTGCTATAATTTAATTATAAACAATTAAATATATTGTAAACGTCATTGAACTCAACACGTGTAACATCTTAAGGAAATCACGCAGGAGATAGAATTGAAATTAATGAAAATTTGCTACAAAGATTCAGGTGAACAGTAATAGTAATGTTGGGAAAATAGCATATAGTTTCAGTTCTAGCTTTTCAATTTCTCAGAATTAAAAACGTGTTCCAATGGTTAAATTATGTTTACTTACTATTGATTTTCTTTCTTTTAAATTCAGCCCAACAAAGTTTAATCACAATAATAACCAAACAGTATCTGTACGGCTCGTTGCCGAACGATTCGATGGCAAACACTTGTACAATTTCAATTATCTAAATACAGTATATTGTTTCAGAATCTTAAATAATGATGGTACAGGCGTGAAGTTTCGCGAGAATTTACACGTGCGTGCAAGTAATATGATAATGAGGTTCACAAAAATGTTAACAGCTTTAGAAAAAGTGGAAGCGCTGGTTTCCTTGGTTTTATCGTGATGGTTTCGAGGGTACGTGCTCCGAGAAGGATCTTTAAGTATTAGTTGTTCGGTGGGCCTTTGTTACTATTCGCT